TGGGGGGAGCCCCGCCGAGCCGCTCCCGGGCCGCGGCGGGGCGCACCGCACGGTACCAACGATTGATCGCTTGTACATTAACAGTCAGCGCCTGCTGCTAAAAAACAATACCAGGAACACGGCTGCTGCAGCATCCATGTTCTTGGTTTAACCACTTCTGCGGGCCGACGTCTATAGACGGACTGCGCCCCGGACGTGGTTAATACTGCGACAGAAAAATGAATGAACAAATAAAAAAATTTTTAAAAAAAGTTTCAATATTAATGGGGGTTAAACAATAAAAATACAAAAAAATGATAGTTATGGGGAGAAGGGGAAGAAGGAGCAAATTGGGGCTGATTAGGGTAAACTAAGGGTTAATAAGGTGTCCAATAGGAACGCTTTTTATTTGAACTCCCCTCCCCTTTCCCCCCCCCCAACATGTCAGGTTGCTGTAGCTGACATGATCTGCAGATGGAAGCTCCTCCCTTTGATCTGCAGATGGAAGCTCCTCCCTTTGATCTGCAGGTGGAAAGCTCCTCCCTTTGATCTGCAGATGGAAGCTCCTCCCTTTTGATCTGCAGGTGGAAGCTCCTCCCTTAGGGGGGCGCATTGAGGAACCTGGTCTCGGGGTCCGTCCCTGTTGGTGAACTGTAGTTCTACCTGGTAGGGGGTGTGTCTGACCTCTGCAGAGAGGCCGCTGCTTCCACACAGAGCGCAATGACCCTTCTCTGCAGCATGCTGGTGAACTACAATGACCAGAACTCTCTATATACAGTATATCCTATGTCCCGGGGGGGAGGGGTCACAGACCTGCAGGTGCTGTAGGACGTTGCTGAGCGGCGTCTCTGTGATCAGACAGAGGTCGGCCGATCCCGGTGATGGGCGATGGGCTTTGGGTTCGAATTCCTTCCCCACTTCATGGAGGTTGATCTTCTGAATGCCGAAACTCAGCGCCTTCCTGTCCCCCTGGAAACGACAACAGTAATATATTATGAGCTCCACTAGTGAGGTCCCCAGGAATCCACAGACCAAACGCACACGCCATCAAAGTGGACCTGTGGACAGAGTCGGGGTCGTCCCGGTGAACAGAATGTGAAAATGAGTTGTCACTGGAGCAGGAAAGAGGGGAAATGTTCTAATGGGGACACCCGTCCCGAGTGACAACCAACAGGCACACACAAAAGGTGGGCGGAGACAGAACAAGGGACAATGGCGAAGGGTGGAGGGATCTCGCTGCCAGAGATTTATGCTCCAATCAGACAGATGCGTCACGGTAGAACGCACTGCCGCCGTCAGCATCTCGCCCAGCTCACTTACGTCACTGGTTGCCAGGAGCTGGGCGGGATGCCAGACAGAACATCAAAGGTTGCTGAGAGCTCTTAGCAACCCGGGACGCTGTGGCCGCCGTCTGCCACCCCTCTCCAACACCTGGCTGTCCCTCAATGAGATGCCGCCTGAAGGAACCATCATTGCCTCATATATTGTCCCTGTTTATTGGTATCAAATAGGGGTCTGACAAGCCCCCAAGTGACAGGTTCTCTTTAAGGATATCTCAGAGGTCTATTAGACCCTCAATGTCTCCCCTGCACACTGAATCCGTGCTTGATCAGCTTCATCCTGGCCGGGGGAATGACGGCGCTGGAAGTGACGATACGCTTGTTGCTTTTCGGCTTCATTCACTGATCACCCTCAGCTCTCCTCGCCATGGACGTCCTGGGCACCTAGGAGGGGCAGCGGACCCCCCAGATACATGGTGAGGGGGGGTCAGGCGGGGATGAGGGAGTCAATTGGCACCTTCCCCAGGCGTAGAAGTGATTGAGCAGCTATATAGCCGTCCCAATCACTTCTAACAGAAGGCCGACAGCCTGCAGATGGAATGTAAACAAACTCCCGGCTGCTATAGCAACCAGGAATCTGTTTACAGGCCTCTGCTGCCACTGACGCATGCCTTCCCTATAGACTAACTGTAAGTAAATCCAGCAAGGGTTAAATACTCGATGAGTCTGGGTGGTGTAGAGTAAAGGAATACTCACCCTTTACACCCTAATACTCACCGGCCCCAGACAGCCAGTGCTGCTGGAAATATGGACGGGTCCTCGAAGTCCCTTGTGCCTAATGATGTCATAATGAGGCGGCCGCACAGCCAGGAAGGAGGAGCTGCTCCCCCTAGACCTAATGAGCATTTAACCCTTATTGTCTGAGGGGGGGCACACAATAAATAATGACCAGGGTTCAGCTTTATCTCAATGTTTAAGAGGCACTAGACCAGGGGTGGGCGACTCCGGCCCTACAGCTGTTGTGGAACTACAAGTCCCATAAGGCATTGCAAGACTCTGACAGCCCCAGACATGACTCCCAGAGGCAAAGGCATGAAGGGATTTGTAGTCAAAGCACAGCCTGAGGGCCAGAGTTGCCCACCCCTGGTCTAATCCCACCAATTTAATGTCTCCAAAAAGTAAGGCTGTCAGCGCGCCTATATCAGCTCTCAACCGAACTTGCAAGCCCTCAAATGGCTGGTGTCATAGCTGATCACATGTGCACCACCATGGCAACTGCAATCCAAATGGAGGCAAAGATGGCACCTTTCTTGGCTGTACAGAATAAGCGGTTGTAGTTCTGCCTTGAAAGGACCACTTGAAGGCCCAAATGAAAGCAGAACGACAATCTCCTATCCCTTACAGCCATGAAAGGTGCCATCTTGGCCTCTGTTTGTATTGTAGTTGTCATGTGATCGGCTATGACACCAGCCATCTGAGGGCTTGTAAGTTTGGTTGAGAGATAAAGTAAGCATACTGCCAACCTTGATAGTTGCCATGGTGCTGCACGTGTGATCAGGTATGACAGCAGTCATTTGCGGACTTGAAAGTTTGGTGGAGAGATAACATAAGCATACTGCCAACCTTGATAGCTGCCATGGTGCTGCACATGTGATTGGCTATGACACCAGCCATTTGACGGCTTGAAAGTTTGGTTGAGAGGTAAAATAAGCACACTGCCAACCTTGATAGCTGCACATGTGATTGGCTATGACACCGGCCATCCGAGGGCTGGAATGTTTGGTTGAGAGGTAAAATAAGCACACCTAACCTTGATAGCTGACACTCCTTGAAAGTAATAGTTTTGGGAGACATTTCATTGGTGGGTAACGTTGTTCTTTAAACTGAAGAAGTGTGAATGGTCCCTTAAAGTGAACCTGTACTATAACAAAAGCCCCCCCAACCCTGGCTCCTCCCACACACTGTACAGTGCCCACCCTTACCGCCACCGCTAACACCTTCTGTTCCAATTGTATCCAGTATAAGATCAGGGGTAGGCAACCGCGGCACTCCGGTTGTGGTGAACTACAAATCCCATCATGCATCTGCCTCTGGCAGTCATGCCTGTACCTGTCAGAGTCTTGCAGAGCCTCATGGGACTTGTAGTTCCACAACAGCTGGAGGGCCAAGGTTGCTGGCCCTGCCATAGGGGATTGTGCGGGTAATTCGTTGTGAATGCCAGAAGGGACGTTTCCAGGGACAATGGTGACAGTGCTTTCCCAGTGTATCGAATAATATGGTGGGTGAAGCCCGAGGACAGACATGACGTTACCTTGAAGGTGACCACCTCCATGCCCAGCACCCGGGTGTAGAAGTTGGCCGTCTTCTCGATGCTCTTGACGGTCAGAACCAGATGATCCAAATGCTTTATACAGAACGGAGCCTGAGAGGAGAACCGGACCAGATGAGGGGAGACCTGCAATGAGATACAACAGGTCAGGTGATCAGCATTACCTGGGTTCTGTGTGTCAGGTGATCAGCATTATCTGGGTTCTGCGTGTCAGGTGATCGGGATTACCCGGGCTGTGTGTCAGGTGATCGGGATTACCCGGGCTCTGTGTGTCATGTGATCAGGATTCCCCAGGCTCTGTGTGTCAGGTGATCAGGATTACCCGGGCTCTGTGTCAGGTGACCGGGATTACCCGGGCTCTTTGTCAGGTGACCGGGATTACCCGAGCTCTGTGTGTCATGTGATCGGGATTACCCGGGCTCTGTGTGTCATGTGATCGGGATTACCCGGGCTCTGTGTGTCATGTGATCGGGATCCCACAGGCTCTGTGTGTCAGGTGATCGGGATTACCCGGGATCTGTGTGTCAGGTGATCGGTATTACCCGGGATCTGTGTGTCAGGTGATCGGGATTACCCGGGCTCTGTGTCATGTGACCAGGATTACCCGAGCTCTGTGTGTCAGGTGACCGGGATTACCCGGGTTCTACGTGTCAGGTGATCCAGATTACGTGGGTTCTGTTCTGTGTGTCAGGTGATCCGGATTACCCGGGTTCTACATGTCAGGTGATCAGGATTACCTGGGTCCTCAGCAGCCGGCAGAGGGACAGCATGGTGCAGGTCGGGCAGTAGGAAGTGCAATGATCCTCAGGCTGTATTTCCCCGGCTGTATTTTCTCAGTGTAACTTCCTGGTGTCGGGTGGAGGGGAGGAGGAGGCCTGAGGTCCCTCCCTGAGTCTGGATCAACTTCTCCTCATTACTAATACAATGCTTGTCTGCACACGAGGAGAGAGCAACGTGATCCCAGGACAACATGCCGAACATAAAGAAATCTGAAATGCTGCAGAAAATTCCCCCACTGATTGTACTGCTGAGATATAAGAGGCTGAGCTGTTAACGTATAGATCCGGTGCTGACTGTACTGCTGAGATATGAGAGGCTGAGCTGTTAACGTATAGATCCGGTGCTGACTGTACTGCTGAGATATGAGAGGCTGAGATATGAGAGGCTGAGCTGTGTATGTATCCCCCCCCCCTTCCCCCGGTGCTGACTGTACTGCTGAGCCTGGTGCAAATGAACCCCAGTCTTAGTTGTTGTCAGTCAGCTGACCTCTCCTGGAAATGCTGGTTGCCTGGCTCTCATGCTGATATATACACGAGTCGCTTCCACTTTGTTATAATCCCAGTAACAGGGAACCGCTGAATATTTAGTAGCCAGGAAATGTCACAGAACACCTGAAACCAATGATTTGGAGGGGGAGGGGCCCAATACTTTTGGCAATATAGTGTATATACCCGTACGCCCTCAGCTTCCTCCAGCCTGTCGCAGCTTTGCGGTAGTCCAGTAACTTCCAGGCAGAGACATGCGTCCAATCTGTACGGCCATCTCCAGACGTGTCCATGGGGACTTACAGCCAAGACCAGCAACTATGTTGCCCCCTGTGAGGAAGCTGAAGCTTGGCCGTCATTGGACCTTCCACTAGGACGCTGCTCCCCAGCACACCTCAGATTCCACCAAGGCTTGGTTGTAGAAGAAGTCCTGGAAGATTCTACAGGGGCCGTCACAGTCACCTGACATGAACCCCATAGAAAATCTCTGGTGGGATTTGAAGAAGGAGGTTGCAGCTCACCAAGCCAAGAATGTTATTGTTCTGGAGGCCAATGCTCTTGAGGAACGCTCCCAGAAGGTAGTCTTTTTTTTTTCGCGGTGCGGTCTATTATTTTCAACAAGGGACACTCTGTACCCTGTATGTGTGTGTGTGTTCAGGGACGGATATTTTGGGGCTTCCATATTGCAAAGAGTCCCCCATGCAGATCCCCAAATACCCTTTTGGGGAACAGGATGTGTGGATGAGTCCTTTAACCTCTCAGCATAGGGACAAGGCTTGGCCACCCGCCCTCTGCAGGGTTTCCTTCCACTGCTGAAAGGATGCGGCCTGGTGTGGTTCAGGAGTGAACTTTCCTGCCAAGCCAGGCACCCAGCTTTTATTTTTTTGTAACTCATTTATTTTATTATATAATTATTTAATAACTATTTCATAATAATATTCATTCATGAGAAAAAGAAACCGATAGCTTACTCCACACTGCTGCCTGCCTTTTGCGGCCCAGTCATAAAATGCAGGTCATGGTGTGGAGCCTGTGGCGTGGTACACATTGAAGTTCAGCTTCTTGTCCCAGCTTTTGTTTTCTTTATTGTCTTTAACTCATTAATTTTACAAGTGCTCTTCCGGCTTATTACCCCCGAATCTACAGAAGTAAGATTTAAAAATAAAGTGCAAAAAAAATAAAAAGAATTAAATTAAATAATAATGTTTCCCTTTATTTATATAGAACACGAGCTGCTCATATACAGTATTATAGGCTGACATTTTTTTATTGAGGAACATATTATTATTACACTATAACGGTGAAAGGCTCCGTACACACTGATGGCCAATATCCGATAACCAAGATGGCTGCCACCATTCCCGTATCGCATTACAAACTGAAGGAACCTTTTTATTATTATTATTATTATTATTACTATTCAGACACATCGATAGAACTCTTTGCACTCGGCTGATCCCTTTGCTGCGTATTTCTGGAAAACCCCTAAAAAAAGAAATGAAGATTCCCTTGAAGCGCACCGCCGCTATACCGGTCGCCATTCCCATCGGGGGAGGGGAGGCAGATGACGGAACGTCCTCAGAGACCAGGACAGATGTCTGATTATAATTCTCCGTCTGACTTGTTTTTTTTATTTCAGGCGCGTAGCAAATTCATGTTTTGTTTTAGTGAAAGAGTTCGGAATATGCAATTATCTTGTTGTGGCAGCTGAGGCCGCCGAGTGTCTGGGGGGGGCCCCGTGCTGGAGCGCTCAGAATAAACTGTATGTCAGAGTTGTCTGTGGACTCCGGTGTATTGCGGGCCGACCAAAATTATTCCACACGCGTCACTCTGAATATTACATCATCCTTTTATCTGTTACACTTCTATTGTTTTATCCTTTAAACTTCCATCACGCTTTAAATCTTTTAAATTTCATTATTTTATCTTTTAAACAATTATTACTAGTTAAATATTTCATTTTTCCTTTATTCATCTATTAAACTTGTATCATGTTTATATCTTATTTTATATGTTTTAAACTTTTATCTTTTTAATTTTTTTTTATAGTTTTTTTTTTCTTCTTTTAAACGTCTATTACTTTTTAAAAACCAAAATTATTCCACACGCGTCACTCTGAATATTACATCATCCTTTTATCTGTTACACTTCTATTGTTTTATCCTTTAAACTTCCATCACGCTTTAAATCTTTTAAATTTCATTATTTTATCTTTTAAACAATTATTACTAGTTAAATATTTCATTTTTCCTTTATTCATCTATTAAACTTGTATCATGTTTATATCTTATTTTATATGTTTTAAACTTTTATCTTTTTAATTTTTTTTTATAGTTTTTTTTTTCTTCTTTTAAACGTCTATTACTTTTTAAACTTCATTATTTTGCTTATCTTTTAAACAATTACTACTTTTTAAAACTCTATTAAACATAGAGTTAATCTGTTAAACATGTATGATTTTTATATCTTATTTTTTAGCTTTTAAAACGTTTTTGTTTTTTTTTAAATGTCAGTTTTTTTTGTTTTTTTTTTACTTCCACTCATTTTTATCTTTTAAACTTTAAAACTTCATGATTTTGTTTATCTTTTAAACGATTACTATATAAATATTCTAAAGTTTCATTAGTCATCTGTTAAACTTGTATTAAGTTTGTATCTTTTTTTTTATACTTTTATTTCTTTATCTTTTAAACTTTTTGTTAAATGTCAATTGTTTTTCAACTTCCACTCATTTTTATCTTTCAACTTTTATTATTTTTTACATCTTTTAAACTTTCATTGTTTTACATTTTCAACACTTACTATTCACGTCTTTAAAATTCCATATATTTTTTTAAAGCTTATATTGTTAAGTCCTTTATCTTTTAAAACTTTTATCTTTTAAATGTCATTTTTGTGGATTTCCGCTTATTTTTTAGCTTTTAAACTTCTATATCTTTTTAAAATATTTTCTTTCTTTCATTATTTTGCTTTTTAAACAATTATTACTATTTAAATATTTTAAACATCCATTATTTTTATCTAATAAACTTGCATTATTTTTTTTACAAATTTTAAACTTCTATTATTTTTTATCTTCTAAAACTTTTGTTTAACTTTCATTAATTTTAATTTTTGTTAAACTTCCATTTATTTGTTAAATAAAATGACAAAAAAAAAAAATAAAAAAAAAAAAATGTAGAGTGCTTTTTATATAATTACCCCGACAGCCATCTAAGGCTACATTTATACTGTGCCCAAATCTCCCATTTAGATGCGGCCGCTGTCACCCAATCAAGTTAACAACCTGGGCATGCCACTTACAGACGCAGCTGCTGTCCCCTGTTCACAATAATGACAGGCTGCTTACAGATGCGGCCGCTGTCACCTGTTCACATTGATGACAGGCTGCTGCTTACAGATGCGGCCGCTGTCACCTGTTCACATTAATGACGCAGGCTGCTGCTTACAGATGTGGCCGCTGTCACCTGTTCACATTAATGACACAGGCTGCTGCTTACAGATGCGGCCGCTGTCACTTGTTCACATTAAACTTGTATGGGTGACAGCGGCCGCATCTAAATGCTACTGCAGGAATCCAAAACTGCATAGTGTGAATGAGGCCTGGAGCTCACCACACACATCACCATCGGACTGCACGCTCTCCTCTTGCTCCACCAATAACCTGTTGCATGCCTCGGCATTGGCGGCCTCCTTTGGTGTCCGGGGGGCGGGTCCGATTGCACCTCACCTTTGTAAGAGAGTCTGCCATTGCTGGACTCTCCTGGAACTGCAAATGGCCCTCCCGCCTGTCTCTGACTTCACCGACCTGAAACAAGCAAGCCAGAAGGAACAGTGAGAACTCCTCCATACTGAACTCAGGTCACAGATAGAAGGTATGGAAGCCTGGGGGGGTCAGTGTGGTAGCCAGGCAGGTAGCCTTGCCAGAAGCCAATGACCCGATCCGTGTTCCTCTCACCAGAGCGTCGCTTCGGTTCCTCAAGCATGCAGAGACAGCGACACCTTGACAATCCGCGCCATCAGTTTCATTCACGCTCCTCCTCTCCCCGAAATGTCCAACTCCATCGGCAGTCACCGACGTCCAAATATTGACTTTTGTCATAAGTCAGCGACTAAGTCCTCGTCTGCATCTCCAGGCTCCCCTCTGTCCTGCAGTCACAGGAAGGGGGTCTTTGATTTGGTGGCTGGCTTCACCTTCTCTATGGTGTGTGAAAGGCAAGATGGCCAAGTGGAAGAATAGCCGGGACTCTGGGGAGGAACCGAGGTTTTTGTCCACGTTGTGTACAATCTGTATAGTTCCTACACTGATCAGCCATAAGATTATGACCACCTGTCTGATATTGAGTAGGTCCTCCTCCTCCTGACCTGTCAAGGCATGGACTCCACTAGACCTCTGAAGGTGTTCTGTGGTGTCTGGCACCAAGCCGCCAGTAGCAGATCTTTTAATTCCTGTAAGTTGTGAGGTGATCGGCCTCCTTGGGTCGGACTTGTTGTGTTCCTCAAACCATTCTTCAACCATTTTTTAGGTCGGTGTTCCGTGTCAAAGTGACACCCACGTGAATGGCAGGACCCGAGGTTTCCCAGCA